CTGTCTGTCTGTCTGTCTGTCTTCTTTCGTCAGGGCTGAACATGCTACACGCATACGCGAACCAAGGCAATGATCGCGAAAAAAGCAGTGCTAGTGTACACAAGTAGTACATATGCAGACTGCAATAAGGTGGAAAGGGCTACACAGGGAGAAGGGCTAGGTCTGAAATTAGACCTGTTTGTCTCAGAGGCATCCCCCTCGAGTGGAATCAAATCGGCACACATCGTGTGTCTGTGCGTCGGTCTGTCTGTCTGTCTCTGTCTGCGCGCACTGCATGCATGCATGCATGCATGCATGCATGCATGCATATATGCATGTATGTATGTATGTATGTATGTATGTATGTATGTATGTATGTATGTAGGCACACACATGCATACAGGACAGCAAACTTTCTGCTGTATACTGAATGTCTATCTAGACCTTGTGCTGGCCAGTGCTGGCAGATATTCTTGAAAAACATGCACATAGGGAAATGTTCACTCAAACACATGTTTTCAGGTAGAGGGAGACAGACAGCCAGCCAGCCAGCCAGCCATGCAAACAGACAGACAGGCAGCAGACACACACGAACAAACATGACCGCTCGGTGCCGAGCCTTCAGTGCTTCCAAAGCGCCCTCAGCCAGCCTTACACGCATCTCATTCCGAGGGCGCAGCACATACTTGTACGTGCAAGCACTGGTAGGCAGCTGGCTCTAGACATGTCTGCGTCCGCGCATTCGTGGCGGCATCTTCCAACGACCTGCGAAGGCGCAACAAAAGTATTGATGGAACTGTACTGTGCATTGCTGTACTAGCTCGGCTCCTGCAGTGTTGAATCAGCCGACCCACCTCAGAGCCGGCGAGGATCTACTGAAAAGGTCTGAAGATCGAAAGCGTTGCAGTGGGCTCCTGGCCTCCGGCACCACTTCTGCCACGCTGGGCACACGCACGAGCCTGCACCAATCCCAGATGATCCCAGGCTTCCGACACAGAATGCAGAGGTGTCCTGCACAACTCCACCAGCACTGCGCACAGATCCGGCTTGGCCAGCTGATCCTCTGCGACAGAGAGATAGATCAGATCAGATCAGATTAGATTAGATTAGATTAGATTCGATTAGATGAGATAAGATTAGACTAGATTAAATTAGATTAGCTTAGCTTAGCTTACATTAGATTAGATTAGAGGGAGAGGGAGGAATGGAACTGATGACGGATCACGGAGACGGCCGTGGCTTGAAGGTAGCCAATCGGGCGGCCTCCAAGGCCGCTGCATCTAAGCCAAGGCGCCGCAGCTCCTGCGAGAGGAAAGCAGCGAGGGGGCAGGGCAGGGCCCGAAGGCGCAGGCTTTGGCGCAGGCTTTTGGAGTTCCCCCCCCGCCTTGTCACGCTGAATGAGACTCCGCGTGTCTGTCGTCTTCCAAGCTTTGCGCACCTTTCAGCTGCTACGGTCCTTCGACGTCCTACAGGCCCGGAAACCGTGAAAGTGAGCCTCGGCCAGCTCCTCACGTAGCTTCAGCACCTTGACGCGAGAGTCACGCATGCTCACGTGCTGCAAGGCAACCCTGGCTTGTTGAAGCAAACTATTATTCATGCTTGAGTCTGCATCAACACTATGGCACTGTGGTGATGTTCGACACATCAAGGAATTCCAAGTGCAAAAGGCCGTACTCCCACACGCCCCACCACACGCACATACGCTCTTGAAGGAATCAGCACGGCACCACCTGAGGTGCAAACTTCTCGCTGCAGTCTGGTGTCCACGGGTCGCGGTTCCCTGCATGGTGCTGGCAACAGACTTCGCCGCACCAAAGCAACACCCGAGCCCGACCCTGGTGTTCTCTCCACATATCCATGATGCTTGAGAGCAGAGCGAACTAAAGCTAATGGAGGGAAGGTCAGCAGCCTTTTCTCGTGTGGAGCTTCACGAAGTTTCACTCAAGAACAATTGCCGCAAGCTCCCAAGGAGCTACCACTAGCTTTCGTGATATTGATATTTTCACTGGTGTTGAGCTCCTGCGTACAAAACTTGGCCACGCTGCCCCTCGCTGCAGTGGTGTCGCTACAAGGCCACATGTCTACTGTTTCAAAGCACCTGACGAACAGATGAACTTAGCACACAATGTCGCCTGGCCATGTCATGAAGTTCGGTCTTCAGCTGTGCCACTTGCTCCTCAACACTAAACTTCACGCCAGTCCAAGCAAGAACGCTCCCTTCCTGTCCTCTGCTTGTCGACAAGACGCAGACAGCCGGCTGATCTGGCGCACACTCCAGGAAATGGCAAAGGCTGATTGACTTACATGTCTTGCCTGCTCGGAATAACGTAGATGGCTCTCTTTCAGCTGCTCCTGTGCACATGCACAAACCAAGGCAATCCACGGACCTGCATGCTGCGGTTCGCAGCCACGCACTTGGAACAGTTTCTCCACTCCACTGCCGGCATGAGTCCCGAGTCCTCCAATCCCAATCTTCGATCTCTTTCCTCGGCAAGCGCCTGAGACAGGCCAAGGCCTTCTACGAGGTGACAATGAGTCAAAGGCCGTGCCTCAGCGTCCCCTGTACTTGTCTCCGGAACATCCTGCAGAAATCTCGACAGTAATTCTGGTTGACCCAAGATGAAACAAGAGAAGCCTCAACCGTTCTCACGACCACACGGGCTTTGACTGCCTTTGCCAGTTCGGCAAGGCAGGATTCCGAATTGCTAGCGCAGTCGGGCTTCATTGACTCATTGATCACGTGCACAGCATGCGTGTTAGAAGCCGGTGGCGACCACACTCTTCACATCCAGCCTGCATCTGTCGGAGTTTTTCTTCCGCTTCCTCCAACTGAAAACTGAGAATGTGGACCTGGAAAGAGAAACAGAAGCAGGGTTCAACCGTCCACGGTTTCGTCGTGCCTGCTTTCTGAGAGCCGACGCTTCTGCCTCGCTTAGCGACTCCCAGCTCGGTGACTTCGTGAAAAAAACCGTCCAGCAAAATGCACAGCAGGCACACTGACGATCTCCTTTTCCAGGCTCGCCTCTCCGCTCTCCGTTTCGCGTTCTGTCGCCAGAGCCGCATGGGTACATCGTTCTGCCGTTGCTTGCGAACCTTCTCGGCCAGGAGCACTCTTCGTTCCACCATTCGGCGAGTCGACCCGTGCAGGAACACTCCAGGCTGCAGAGATCTGCGGAGCCCTCATCTGAAGTCTCTGTGCTCCAGTGTCTCCACGAACTGGACTTAAGCAGCCTCTGAAAGCTGGCACAAAGTACCAGGTTGTGGCAAGAGCTCGGCGGGTCAGCAGCGGGTCAGCTCTTCAGCCTGCGCGCAGTTCAGCAGCCACGGAACGGTGGTCACGAATTCAAACGACAGCAGCGAGTGCAGAGAACCCGAACCTGCGGAGAAGAGCCGCTTGCTGTTCCCGGATCTCTGAAGCAGAAGTCAGGACCTGGAAGTCGAGGGGCACAGAGCTGAGCCAGCTCCGTCAAGCTACAACTCAAGACACGTGAGACTTCTTGCGCCTCCCGCAGGCTCGCCTCAGCAGGGGCCACGTCGCTTCCACTGCCAAGCTCGATGCACCACAAGCCGCTCAAAACGCACTACTGTACCTGCTGGATCTAAGCTGATGTTCGCTTCCCTGTAGAAGGGAGCAGCCTCTCTTTCAGATTCCATGTTCCTTTGCAGCACAGCTGCAAGATCAGCATGAAGTGATGCCCAATTCTTGACCTCCACTCTGACAGTGAAAAAATCCGCAAGAACTTGCCAAGACTAGGAATCTCACACTCATTTGCACTCGAGGGTCTTTGCCGAGTTTCTGGCCGAGTTTCTCACAGCATGGGCTGGAGAGCACGTCTGCGGCCGGTCCTGTCTCCGGTCCAGCTCGACTCCGATTTGATCGCACTGTTGCGGCCAAGCCACCGCGAGAATGGAAGCCGCACCTGACCTCAGACACTGCGTCTGCCGCTCCGCTCCGTCTGCTGTCCGTTCGTGTACCAGGACCCCCGCAAGGAACCAGCATCTCCAGAAGTCGAAACCTGTAACAACCAGGACCAGAGCCTCTAAGGAAGGTGAAACGATGCACTGCTGCACTGCCTCCAAGCTTTGAGCCTCTCGAGACAGCCCTGCAGGGAGCGGGTTTTTCCATGTTTGCGGCCAGGTCAGGAATAGAATTCGGTCCTCCAGCACCACTTCCAAGCCTGAGGACCAAGGCATGGACCAAGAAGTCTCTCAATCCTAGGCCTGGGACTGACACGGACTCGGTGCTCCCCAATCCTGGGTTCATGTCTCGGCAAGCTGCCCATGCCCGCGGAAGGCTCGAGACTCTGAGGACGGCACACTGCGAAAATCTTCGGATACCTCCCGCAAAAGTCAAGGCCACTCCAAGCTGCATCACGAAATCGTTCGCCGCCCTCTGCCTCACTGATGTTGCTTGAAGGCGGCTCGGGGTCCAAGCCCTTGACGTTCTGCGAAGGAACATGCGCTCGCGCAGCAAAAATACAGCAGCAACCCTGTCCTCCTTGGAGCCTCCCAGACCGACTCCTGCAAGCTCTCAGCTGCAAGTGACCTACAGCACCCTGAGCCAAGCAGGTGACGGGAAAGAACCATGGGTGTGGGGTCCAGTGCATGTTTCCAGAGCTGTTGGTGGAGCTGCAACTCATCGCCGAGGGTCCCTAAACCCCTCGATGGTTGAAGATTACAAAAGCCTGTCATAGCCTGTCCTCGACTCTCAGGCTGCGAAGCCTTCGAAGTCCTCAGGTGCCAGCGCACTCTCAGACATCGGAGGCTGCATCCAGCGCAGTCTCAGATGCTAACTCTGCGGATGCTCCAAGGGGTGCAGCCTCAGGAGCTCCAGGCGCAGGCAGGTCCTGCCACGCTACAGCCAGCCAAGATGTCTGCTGAGGACAACAGTGACAGTACCTTCTATGAAGCGCTACATCATGCTTTATCTACGAGCCTTGTCTCGCGGATCCGCAGCACCTTGCGAGCACGAGAGTGTAAGATCTTGCAAGCAGTCCGCACTCAGTGCAGACACTGCCTCCATCGGAAGAATGGGCCGAGTGCACGGATCCGGCGGACCTCAGCTGTGGGTGCGGCCAAAGGGTCCTGCGAAATCGAAAGCTTTACACCAGCCCCAAGCGAATCGGACCATGCTGCTCCGGAGTCCAATGCCTGGTCTTTGACTGGCTCTGCATGGGCAAAGCTTCCCTTGCCCTCTGGGGCGGCTGCCTTTCTTGAGCTCGCCTCTCGCATTCTTTACATGTCGGCAGGTCGGTCCCCAGCCCCGACCCGAATCGCTGCCCGTCACACCCTCGAAGCTATCCGCAGCTTGTATAGCGAGGTAGGTGTGCTGACTAGTTTCGATACTTGTTAACCCAGGAAAACGCACAAAACCAAACTTGCTGACCGTTTGTTGCCCGCGCCCTCATATAGCAATGCTTGAACCAACCTGTGCTTGTCGGACAAACGATATCCAGTGTTGTCATCATTACTACCATCATCACTGTCGACATCGTTAAATTAATGCCATCACTACCATCACCGTCATCCCGCGAGTGCGTTTCGGTTCATGGCCTACTCCTGAAAGAGTGTTTGAGGCTGGGTCATGTCTGCCCACCGGGCTCAGCACTGGGGCAAACCACGATGACCAGTCGGTTCGAATCAAACACAGAAAACAAGCGGAACGAATACCCGCAGAGTACCAACATTTGCTTGCTTGTTTTGAACTTGTACAAGAGATCATCGTGTCTTTGCCTCGGACTCGCTCCCGACCATGTCCGACACGAAGCTCGCATCTTCATCTTCATCCTTCGCAGAGACCGGACGACAGCTCACTATAACTCGGTTCTTCCGCACACCTCTCCTGTTTCACCAGGACCTCGTCTCTACCGTCAGCACCTGTAGTGGCCGCCACCATGGAAGCACACTATATCTAAGCACATTTACTGCTGAGGCCGTGACTCTTTTTCTCATCCTGCTCAGCAGCAGACGGGTCTTTCTCCTTGGATGCTGCAAACCCGTTCTGTGCAGAGTGCGAAGAAGCGCTTCGTTGCCTTCGAGGCTTTGATTCCTTCCTCGTCCTCACCGCGAGGTTTTCTAGACGAAAGCTTATTCATACAGGCTGCCGAGGCCTTCGGCATGTGCCGATGCTTCTCCAGAAGCTTCCGGTAGTGGCCATCCTGGTAGCAACCAGAGGAAACGAACGCCCAGGAAGACTCCAGAACACAGCCCTTGAGGGCTGTGCGCAGGGATGATCCCAGGAGCTCTCCTCCGTTTCGAAGTTGAAGTAGAACACCTTCGGACGGCTGTGGTGCAGGGCACTCCGAGGCGGGGGGCTCCGCCTCGCCCTTTTCAGTACAGGTCTTCCACCTGTAGGCCGGGCGGGGAGCGACAAGCGACAGCGATGGCCACAGCGAACAACTTGGTCAAGGCACGGCTTGGGCACTGGAGCTGCTACGCCTTCGCGCGCTATCCACAGCAGGTGCCTTGTCGCATTCTGCAGGCACTGGAAGTAGTCCGTCACGCATGCTTTCCAGTCATGGTATGATAAGCTCGCGCCTCTCTGCTTCAACATCCATGCCCAAGTACTCTGCATATTCCAAGACCTTGCTCTGCGAAGCCGCAGAAACAAAATGCGCCCCTGCGTACCCCTGCTAAACAAGTCAGCGGGTCGCCTGCTCCTCTGTAGGGGGTTCATCCTGCACAGACTGGGCATAGCTGGCTTGACATCACCAAACCTCCCTTTCACGACTCCTCGTCTTCTAGGATCTCAATCTCTGACCTCATAACTCATAACTGGCCGCTACCGCTTCGTCTCCCACAGCCTCCTACATCTGGGCACTGGACTGGGATCCTGTGCTGGCCGTGGCCTAAGCGCGGAGGACCATATGCCAACGACTCAGGGAGGCCAGAACATCTGAGATCGTAGCCATGTGGCGCTGTAGGCGGCTAGACTCGACCGAGAAGAAGCATGGGCAGGTGCTGCCTCTCTTTCCACCCGCGTGATTGTTGAGCTGTCTTACATGTCATTGTAAGTTGCTCGAGCCATCGAAGCTGCTGCGAAGTGTTGTGAGCCAAATGCTGGAGATGGAGCCGCCAACTGGACATTGACACACCGGCCGCCTGCGCAGCTTCCGACGCTGCCTTGTGAGCTATAAGCGCCTGGCGCCGCCAACTTGGCAACACTCCCATGACTTTAGACTTTCTGTGCCTCCACAGGATCTTCACGAGAGGCCTCACTCAAGCCGCTGTCAGATTCTCTACAATCGGAGAGGAATTGAAAGAGCCATTGAAGCAGCAATGAGAGATTGTTTGAGGTTCGAATGTCCCAAACCTGGACTCAAATGACTTCTGATGCAAACACTTGCAACCGAAGAATGTGACTGTCTTCGACCATGCGCCATATCACCGGCTTTCTGTTTGGCTCGGCCTTCTTCGAGACGCGCACCAGAGCTGAACGCTCACGCTCCTGGAATGAGTCAGTTTCTTCACCAGGCTGCTCTGCTGATTCAGGGTGCTCGCATGTCTCCTTGCGCTTGGCCGCCTCCGATAGAGCCTGCTCCAGACGGGATTTGAGTTTCTCCAGCTCCTGCAATCCATTCAGCTGGAAATGCATTAGAGTGAAGATTACGGCCGGAAGAAGCTGTCTGTCCCGCTCGCGCTGCCGCGCTGCAATCTGCAGCAAGAGCAAAGCAAAGCCGATGCGGAGAGCGGCCCTCGGCCCTGAGCATCCGTCGGCCCTCTGAAGAGGCCTCGGCTTTCTGGGCCCGAATCGTGAGCTCCTGCAGCTGCCGGTCGCGCGGAGCCTGCAGCTTTTTCACCAAGCTCGGCGTTCGATCCTTCCGACGTCCGGCCTGCCTGAGGAGATGGCCTTGAAGATGGGCCAGATGGGCTCCAAGTGCCTCACAGAAAGACCCTCGCCTTGCAGGCAAATGTGTGGCTGCACTTGGGGGCACACTTTGCGCTGGCACAGAAGATCCGAAGCTAGTGTCACCGCTCCTTGCGTCGAAAGCACATGAAGCTATCCGAAGTCAGAGACTCTCACTCATGTATGCCGATGTTCAATCAAGCACGGCTCTTTGCAAGCATCACTGGATTAAGATACCGCACACATTGAGTGAAACGTTCTGAAACTATAAAAGGAGGTGAGATCGTACAGGGGCACAAGATGTCACTGGTGCGTGTCGGCAGCGAGTGTGTTGGGCCTTCGGTCAGCGATGGTTCTTGAATGGCTGCCTTCGGGCTGACTGACTGCTTGATTTGATGTGTCGATGCATTGGTGCAGCTGGGGCTCGCTTTTCCTGTACGTTTCCGCATGGTGTCTGGTCCGACTGCAGTACGCATTATCCTGGACGGTGGCGCGAACCAGAACAGGAGGTCACGCTACCGAGTAGCATGGTACAGCCGAGACACGGATTTCCCTTGGAGAGATTTTCATACCCGTCACCTGTGCGCCGATTGAAATCTCTCTTGCAGCACTGTCCTCAAGACACACCCTTCAGGCGATCTGAAAGAAAGACCGTCCTTCTTCAACTGGAGGCAAATACTCAGAAAGCCGACTCACCAAAGAAGCGCTGCTTTGCCGAGCTGTCCTGGGATCGCCAAGAGCCGTGGCCACCATACACGACGGAAGATAAGCAAAACCAAATCAAAGAGCTGTGTCTCTCGTACTGCATAGTTCGCACACACTGTGATTGCCTTCTGGCCACTTGCAATGAAACCTCCCTTTCTGTGCCCGGCGTGGGCTCTCAAACTCAAAAATGTTGCGACATCTTTGTTGTACTTGGCGCGTGGAGGCGTTTCTCTCATGCTTCCCGAATCTCGCTTCTGCTGTTCCCCTCATGTTCAGCTGCACTTCAAAACGCTGTAAGCTACCAAAGGGGACTGGCAACCCAGCGACTTGGAATCATCCAGCATGGTGGACTTCATGTGGTCTCCAGTCAGGGGAAAGACGTGCGGCCACAGCTCGTACGCCCGCAGATCACCCTGCCGAGGTTACGTCGTCTTCACAAAAACATTAGGTCTCCCAGAGACTTGCGCCTGTGACAAGAGCATCCCATCAATGTCGTCGATGGGCTGCCCCTGAAGGTGGGCCAGGATTGCTGGGATGGAGTCAGCCTGCGGATCAACAACCACGCAGGGTCACTTACCAGTACCATGTCTTTCGGATATGTACTGCAACCTCAATTTCTCGCATCATGGCCTTGACCATGTATGCGCCCGTACCAGCATAGTGATACGCAGGGCCCCAGAAGTGCCACCAGAATGTTTCCTGCCCGACCACACTGTATCTAACCATTTTCGGGGTCGAGGTACTGTGCAATCAAAGGCCTTGAAGGGCTTCCGCATCAAGTATGCATCTGGACAGCCGCTGTCATCTTCTTTGTGGCCAAACTCGTGCTGGAAAGCTGCTTCGAGTTGGTCCACCAGCCCACTCTCCGGAGCATGTGACTTGGCAAACACCTGCGCAGATCTGCCACTGTTAATGAAACAAAACACGGAATTAGACGGAACCTCCGAAGCAATAATCTCAAATGTTGATGCCTTGGCTGCAGTTTGCAGTAGATGATGGCTGGCAGTAGCATTCCTGGGTGCACCACAAGCAGTCGCGATGCAAGCTGCGTTGGCAAAGCCATCATTCTCCGAGTTTACCAAATGCTCGTCGGCTGTCACAAATTAAGCATCTTGCTGTCGTCCTCCTTTGCGCGTGGGAGCTCCGTATAATATCCTGCATCATGTTGTGTCGCCCTGCGTGTCCGAAGCACAGCAGCTGTGTACCACACCTCGACATCCAACCACCTTGACCTCAGAAAGGCTGCACAGCACGAGCTGCTAAATCTGTATCATCCGAAGGTCAGCAGCACAGAAACAGGCAATCAGGTTTCCACCGGTAACATCTCGTGATCGCTGCGAACCGACTTTGGCTCCCGTCTTTCGCCAATTACATGAGCGACCCTTCACGCGGAAAATCTGCAAATGTCTGGCCGGCCAGGTTAGGGTAAGCGGAAGATGTTTCTGTACAGTGGACGGCACGTGAAGCTTTATGTTTCTTTCCACCTCTGCCGCAGTCAGCACGGTCGTTACTCTAGGTTGTCTGCTTGCACATCGTTGTACTGTTGCACGGTCTCTCCGATCTCATATAGAGTCTTTGGAGCAGCAGCATTGCGCTCTTTGTCAAATCAGCGAATCTCTCTCGGCGCCTGGCTCTGCAGCCAAGACATCAGCCCAAAGCTCGAGGAGTTCATGATGTTGCCCCTGTCTCCTGCCAGAAGGATTACGATGCCAGACAGGTTGCAACGCGCACGGGGGAGTCCTGGCTTCAATTGCAGATCTGACGCGCGATTGTACCCCCAACCAGATACCTGCACTGCTGCTCGGGAGATGAAGAATGCACGAGCTGCGATCTACGTGCCTTCAGCAAACTCCAATCGCTTGGAGCGCAGTCGAGCGTCTTCTGTATCAGGGCTTGCCAATTGCGCCTGAGTGGCCATCACTAAAACGTTCGGCTCGGAAAAAAGACGCTATGGCTTGCACGGGATCTCGACATCATCCTCGAGCACCTCGGCAACAAAATCTCCTTAACGGCCTTACAAACGCTGCAAGCCGATGGCAGCTTTGAAACTTTGCGCCGAGCAATCGCAATCTGGCCCTGCTGCAGCTGCCTCCACAAAATCGGCAATGCCGTGTTCACAACCAAGGCGTGGCTAGGCTTCGCTACAGACTGCTACGGACCGCCTGTGAAGCATCTCTAGCAGCTCCGAGTGGCTGACGTAGCAAGCCTCAGAAGACAAAACAGCCCATGCCAGTCAAGCAGGCCATCAGCATCAAAGTGACAAAACCATGGGATCTTTGGAAACTCGCTAATGCGCGTGGTGATGTTGAGAGGCGTTGTGGATGGGGGGGGTCCAATACCGATGGAACTGGCCATGTGGGATCCCTCGGCAGGCACTTCCACATCTAGTTCGACAACAGGCGATCTGGCCGCCTAGTGCCTCATGATGGAACACATTTCACGGAGTCAGGGAGGGCTCATGGCTTTGTCTCCTCAACTTGTGATCCACAGGACGTCTTCCTTGTTGTCAGATAAAGTCTGACGTTGTCAAGTCGTAACTGCATGGACTAGGCGTCCTGCAATAGTTGCGTTGGGGACGTGGTCCTGCACGCACCCGAAACTGATGCAGCAAGGGACGACAATCGACAAACCAGCCGCCTCCTATCCCTATCGTCAGAGATCATTCGAGCAGTCCGTCCTGCTGGCGCTGTGCATCCAGAAGCTCGCTCGCCAGGTGCTGCTTCTTGACGTACTTCTCGTCGAACCTTCACCAAGCAACATCACATGTCAATGTGCCTATGTAGAACGCTACAGTAAGTAGCGGACTCGCCGGCATTGATGCGTGCTCGGTCGACCGCCTCAGCCATAAGGTCTTGGTGACTCGTGACACATCGCAAAGAACTGCAATGTGGCCTGGAATCTGTGCAAAGGCATGTTGGCAGCCCTTCCCTGGCCATCAAACATGCTCAGTTTCTTCTACAGCTCTCCGCCCCACAGGCTCCACACTTTGTGCCTGCTGCTCCATATGTGAGCGACGCTCTACCTCGCAAATGGCGAAGCTAAAAGCACCAGACCCGAAACCCTGCGGTTACACCGGTCGCATGCCGACCGTCCTCGGCATCTGTATTGATGTAGTACACCACCACTTCTGGCTGCTTCTGGGACAAAGCCACATGTCGCTGGACCAAGGACACCTTTCAGGGCTGTATGGCACTCGTACAAGTCGAATCCGAAGCACAACGTCATCCTCGCCTCACCGTGCGAAGAGATCGCAACCGATGCTACCGTGTCCAGGCACTCCGCACGCAGAACAAGAACGCCAAGAAGGCCAAGCCACTGCGGCATGGCACCTGAGCAGCGTCGGCAACGAAATCTGAACTCGGCAGCCGAGCCCTGCAGTACTGCAGGAGTAGATACAACATGTATCAAGGGGTCGCACTCAGCTCTTGGAAAGGCAGAACATGTATATGAAGAAGGAAACGTGGGAAACCACGACTTCCTTGAAGCTACTAGACTTGGGCCGAAAGTCGAATGGAAGTGGAACTTGTACTGTAACATCCCGCAGTCAATGCAAAAAAGCATTACAGCTTCTGCAGCAGCCTTGAAAGCAACCCCGATGTGCCTGCTTCCTGAAGTTCCTGTTCTGTGCAGTTCTTTGGCCGCCTTCAGTTCTTCCTCGACAGCATGAGAAGCACGGAGTCAGTCCGGCTACCCAGTCTCGTCCGGACAGCTGGCTCCTGTAACTTGGAATTCTCGTGGAGCAGACTGTGAACTCGACCATCACGCCGACATCTCTCCTTCACAGGAAGCTATCCCCACTGCACTGCAATGGCTCCTGAGTTCCTCGGTCCGCTCGCCCAGCAATGCCTGCTGCAAGCGCCGTCCGCGATTCTCGTAAGCCAGCAGCACCTGAGCTCAAGCCTGTGCCTGGGCGTTGGAGATTTGCGCAGCGCTAAGCCCAAGCCTCTGCACATGTCGTCCAGAGGCCGTGCCCGTCGGCTATCAGTTCTGTCAACTGGCCACCTGCAAGGCTCACGTGACTGCTTAGGGTCCACGGCACGAGGCTTGGGCGACTCTCGCACCTGGCACGCCTCTCGCGTCTGCATCTTTCGACATCAGAACATGTTGAACCTGCGCACCCACCAAGGTGCTGCAAGAGTTCAAAGTCAGGAGCCAACAGCCTCCTGGAAGCCATTGCGTCTCAGCATATGGATGACTGTCTTGAAATCCCCGATCATGGGTTCCTGACAGCATGACGAGCAAAGACCGGCGAACAGCACGCACCAAGGCCTCCAGGTAATTGGAATTGTCAGAACTTTACGAGGCAAAATAACACTGTCCCCACCAGTCCCCAACTCGAATATGACGATGTGCAGCACGGGGAGGGACGAGCAGGACTTAACAAGTCTGTGCCACTGGCCTCGCTCCCAAGACGACTCCCTTGCCGTCGGCTGCAGTTTCCGGCACACTATCTGTGCTCCGCAACAAACCAACTTGCTTATGTTTCAGGCTGCCGATCTCGTCAAGATGTCGCTGGTTGCTGTCATGATGAGTTGGCCACGGCAGCCTCCACACGCAGAGCGCAAGAATAATGGTCATTCTCAGCCTCAGGGCAATCAAGGAGCCTATCACTTCCAGAACCCTGCAATCGTTCTGTGCATCAGGCAGCAGTTGCTCCGCTCTGCAGATGTGACAGTCCTGCACGTGCTGAACTAGCATCGACGGCAGATGACGGCAGATTTAGTACTGTTCAGACACGTTTTACATCACTCGCTTGAAAACGATCGTTGGAAGATCATGCCGCGGCATGAGGCAAGTCGGGTGGAGCCCACTCAGACGGTTCGAACCAGCCTGCAGTCAGCTCAGGTTCAAGACAAGCGTCTTGTAAGAGCCCGACAGGTGGTCCTACCTCCCATATTGAACTTCACACCAGAGTCGATGAGTCTCTCCAGAAGGCATGTCCCACCTGGTTCAGTTGCGCCATAGATGGTGTAAAAATGTGTGAAGTGTAAACCATACTATGTACATGACTGGCATTCTCATGTCGCCAGGGATTGTTGACTGATGTGAAAGAGCTTTTTCTCCCCGCTGTTTAGGTTCCACTCTACACCACCGGCAGCAAAGGGTGCTCGTCACCAGGCCTGCGACACTGGGTGTGAGAACACCTCCTGAGTGCTGAAGCCTCGCGAACGCTTCCCAAGTTTCGGGATCACTTGGCAACACAAGCACATGGAAGGGGCCTGTCAGAGTCGAAGCGCAAGGTCAGTGCCGTCTCTACCTGGAATCCGCAAAATGCGCAATCAGCAGAAAATGCAATGTAAGATTCCAGCAAAACGAAACTGCAACTTGGCGGCGGCGACTCGAGCTGACTCAAAGTAGCCGTCCGCCGCAATGATGCTGCATTTCGCCTTGCTCGAGCTTGCAAACGCAGCAGTCAACCCACACTCCTCAAGCTGCGAGGCCTGGTGCCCATCAACAGATTCCGCATGGAGGAAGTAGCCGGTCCACGCACTCAGATCCTGTCTGCTCCGAGCGCGGCAACAAGGAATAGAGAAGCTGGAGAGAGGAGAGGGAGGCCGGGGGTTGCCCCACGTGGATCCTCCACCGCCGGCCCCTCGACTTGGTGATAGTCCTGCCAGAAAATACTCGTGAGGGCTGCCTGTGCTCACTTCCAAGTTGGGATGTTCTAGAAGCTGGAACAAGTCAAGGTCGTACTCCAGCAGCTCTGGCTAGCTCCCTGCTTTGCTGCCAAAAATGTGCTTGCGATGATCATGCCCGCTGTGCCAGTCCTAAAAGAAGCGAGCAAAGCCGAGTTCGGGCTCCGACGCCGCTGGTTTCTGATCCCTGGTGATTCCGAGCACGGCGCTTCCCGCGGGTTCAGCAAGGCCCCGAGGTGTGCGGGAGCATGAAGCAGCCAAACACGTCAGCACTGACAGTGGCATGACTGTGGCATGACATGACAGGTGCCCGATGTCCTTGCCCTCGACCTTCAAAACACGCAACTCTTCGTCGAGTGTGATGCCATACTGGCCAAAGGGAGCCAAAGCCTCCCAAGGGCACAGCATGGCCCTGAGGCATGTCCCTTCTTGCACCCTGCAGTCAGTCCTGCCCATCTGGCATCGCCTCAGCAGCTCATTCTGGGAGCTTCTGTTGTGTTCCTTGCCGCTTGCCTCCGGCCTTCAGACTTGCAACGCGTTCCGGCGGCAGCATCGCAAACTCCATGAAGTTAAATGTAAGGCCATAGGGCTCGTTCCTTAGGTACTGAACGGGTAAGCAAAGCAGCAGAGGGCACTTCCCGTTCAACAGCTCGGCTGCCGCCCAAGCAGCGCCAGATCTGCCTGCAGCATGTTGGACCGCCGTACCAATCGAGTGTCGAAGAAAGAGTTGACGTAGGGAGCTCTCCAAACACCAAGCTTCTTGTCCTCACAACAACACAAACGCTCCACAATTCCCTTCAGCACAGTCATGGTGTCCTCCGATATCTTCGCCATCTGACTGTCCTGACAGCTCAGCTTCTCTCATCTTGAGATGCTCCGTACATGATCAGTTCGTTTGCTGCTGAATGTGGCAAGTGAGAGTGGTTTGCCTACGAAGATCTGTTGTGGCAAGAGTGGTCTGCCTACAAAAGTCCGCCGGCACGTTGGCCTGACATGATTTCGACTGTGGCGACCGGTGACCAGTACTGCGTTGTCTGCCACTACTCCGCCCTAGCCCTTTCTCCAGTGCCAATCGAGGCAGAAGCAGCTGCACCGAGCACTGCTTTGGCCCGTGCTTCATTTCCAAGCTTTCGCCACATGCTACAGAGACCTCCTGACTCCGGTGCATCGTGCATTTCTGAGCTTGTGCTCCACTCACCAAAAATCACCACGACGTCTGTGTACAACCACGAGTGGATTCAACAGAGTGGAGGCTCCCTGTGGGACATGTACGCTGACACTTCCGGAATTGGGGCCTGATCTCTGAAGACTGTTCCGAGTGCCACATCAAGACCCCCCGAAAAGGAAAAAAGCACTGGAAGAGGTCTCCTGGTCTTCGACGCGTGGCTTCGGTGTCACAAGGCCCGTGCCCATTTGAATGTCCACCTGCTTGACCTGACGACAGTCTGTCCATGACAAGCTGCAGCGTCACAAGAGGATCAACTGTCTGTTGCAGCACAAGTGCTCCATTACGATCAAACTGCGGAATGAAGCCGCCCATCCTTGCAAACAAGGATCAATTTGAAGATTAGCTTCACCATGCCAGGCCAACACATGTTCCAAAGGCTCACTACCATCTGATCTTGCCGGGCTGCGAAAATGGATCCAGCATTGCACCTGCCACCTGTCAAGGCAAGCGCAGCTAGCGCCCGAGTCTTGTCGGCCTAGTCTTGTCGGCCTCTGCCCATGCGGCACTCAATGCTGCCCGAGTCTTCAAAGTACCACCCGACACGCCGGCCACGTGACCGCCACCTCAAGTGGCTCTGAGCTTCTACTCGTCTCCCTCGGCCCTCAGCCACAATGACATTCCGACTTCAGCCCGGGCCTCCACAGTAGCACACGGCGGATCGAGTCGCCTCACCACGACAAATCGCTAGAAACATCTGCCCTGTGGCCCAAGCGAAGCGCCTGCCTGCCCAACACTCTCCTGCAGAAATGCAACGACTTGTCTCTGCTTCCACCCTCTGGCACTTCGACGCGGCAGTCGACGAAACATAAGTAAGAAAGCACTAGTCCTTGAAATGCTTGGCCAGCATGTATACTCCAAGATCAGGATATGCGCTTCCGCAGCAGGACGGCACAACCGTCACACGAGCCTCGAAGGAACTCGTGCAACGGACTTCGGCAAATCTAGATTGCGGAGCTAAGCCAGCGAAAGCTGGGTACTGGGCATCTCGTGCGTACCGGTGAAGCTCCTGAGAGGTCTACCGGAGTCGGAGGCTCGCCTATTGCGAACCTCTGCAACTGTCCTTCACGCGGAGGCTCCACGGGACCTGTACGACCAGGCATCTCTCGAAGTCATGGCCTCTGCAGTCTGGTCGCCTCCATGCTGACGTCCACGTAGTGGGCTTTGCACCAGATGCAGGCATCCACGAGAACCTGCACCGGCTCGACACATCACATCGGGGTCCAGGGTGGCACACAGCTGCCATGCCTCGCCCTCTGCCAACATATAAGGGCCAGCGACGTTGACCACCACATGAGCACTCCTCGTCAAGCGTCTAATTATTCCGAGTCGACCGGCATCCGGTCCTCACAATTTCAAGATATTGCAGCTAGGGCTCTTGACCAGGTCTACAATGGAGACCACATCATCATAGCTTGCCGAAAGGACGGGTGCATCCTGCGAAGAAGCTTGAACAGGTGAATGTTCTGTCGACACAGAGCTGAACTCCTCCCACGGCGTGTCTTTCAGCTCCCGGTCCCGCATCTCTGCCACCTGCCAAAAGCAGCAAGTCTCTTGTCAAGACCAACGAAACCACATGAGACATGCAGAAGCTAGCAGGCAGTGGTCCATGAAACTCATGTGTCAACAAACATTCCGAAAAGCTGCCAGTCCTGAGTATTCCTCAATCTTTCGGAAAGCGAAACTACTGTACCTGCAATCTTTCGGTGGCTTACTCCGAGAAGCGGAAACGACACAACATTCTCAGCTGAAGAATCGTGCCAAATGCAGCGACTGTTTTCTGAAACCTCTTTCTCAACTTGATTGGCAGATGATCGTGTTCCGACACCAAGCTGCCTTGGTGGCAGACCGGCCGGCCAAAGCGAAGGTAAACTGCTGCTTACCGGGCTGCAGTGCGCATCTCTTGAGATACCTGGCCGGAGTTTGCTGCGTTAGTAGCGTGCTTGAGGAACCACGGCATACCTGAGAGGGAGCACTGCATCATCAGGTAGCCCTGGTAGCCAGAAGCTCCGTAGAATACGATGTCAAAGCGTTTTCCATCCCACCTTGCATCCACACAATCACAATCCGAACCTGAGGCCTGGATTGCTGCAGATGTTTCTAGTTACTATCAGCATTTCAGCAGGCCACTGGCTCGCCCAGGTGAAGTCCTTAGAGTGACAACGGTGCTACAAGCGGGCATGAATCACACACCTGAGTTTCAGACCATGAAGCGAAGCCAGTGATCCTCTAAACGCGCAAGCGCATCTGGATCCGCGTCGCCCACGTCCTCCTGCGTGGCAGATCGAAGACACAACGCTCGGTTCACTGCCCTGCTGTCCTGGGCATCAACTTTGGCCAAGGAGTCTGCAAGGGCTTCATATCTGGCATTGAGAATGCCGCTTTTCGGTAATGCTAACGATCTTGACACGTCCAAATGAATCTTCGCATGCGTTAATAAGCGCCTGCACATCATGTCTGCATTGAAGTACTTCTTCTGCAACGGCGTCTGTCCACCTGCATTTTCCTGTCAGAGGGCTCTCAATCAGGCCTCTCAAGCAGCAAAGAAGCCTTGTCCAAAGTGTGACGTTGAGCAGGACAGCTCAACACTTTACGCACTCGAAGCTGCCAGTCCTGTATGTTTCTCAGTCTTTCTGCGGCGGCCGCCGCAGCCGCTTGAGCTGCACTGCCTGCAACCTTGACAGGACACATTCATCCGCCAAATATAATGCTGTCCACGCCACCGTGCGGCAGCCTGCACCATCGTCAGTGCATCCTTTAGGAGTTGCCTATCACGCCATCTTCGGCTCGACTTGTGAACCGCAAGTTGCTCTGTAGGGGACTGCTGTGCTGCACATGGCTGGGCTCAAAGCTGCTATCTGCATCACCGAAAAGTAAAGTTTTCGTTAAAAGCAGATTGCTCACGCATCGTTTGAAGCGAATGCGGCAACTTACCTAGCATATCTGAGCGAGCCTCAGAAGCTGCTTGTGGACCGAAATAGCATTGCTGAACTGGGGCTTGCCGCCATGTGCATGATCGGAAGACGCTTAAGCCGTATCCACACGAAGAACTGTCAAGTGCCCAGGCAGTTAACACAGCCATGGATGTTCGAACGGGCCGACTGCACTGTGCGGAAGGCCGGGGCGGAAGGGGCCGTCAGAATCTAGGAACTGTCACGTCTAACTGGCAAAGACAATCCGCATTTCAGACCTCGGTCCTTGCGTGGCAGGGCTGTGGAACAATGGTCTCCTCGGGTTGTTGCGGTGGTCACCAGAGAGTTCTGCCTCAACAGCTCCGGGCCTCAAGGGCTCATCGGCTTGGACGCCACCTCTTTCGTGTCTTGAATCACAGTCTGCACCTTTGCGCCTCTCCTGGTCGAGACGCCAAGCCGCACAAAAACCCTGAAAGCACCACGTGGAGAGCGAGATTGGGGAGGCTGACACCCTCGCAAAAACAGAGTGCTCAAAGTGTTCATGCAGAAAAAGGGCTTGGCAGCAGGAAAGCGGGTGAGACGTGGAGCGGTTCCAGTGCCTGGTGAGGACTTTCCTCTAGGGAGCACGGTGGATCCGGATCCTGGCAAACGGAAAGCCTTCGGAGCAAATGTCTTGATTTGAGAGCCCTGGCGTGCCCTGGCCCTGGCCTGAGTCCAGGTCGAGGCTGAACCTTGGAGAGGAGAGCGGAGTGGATTGGGAGAGAGGCCATCCAAGGCGAAAAACCAAGCGCTGGCACTTTCCGGCGCAGGAGAGGAGAAGGCCGGAGGCAGAGGTCGGTGAACTAACCTCTGGTCGATGGTCGTTCATGGGAACGCCAAAAACAAGGAAGGCGTGCCTCCTCCACATGTCTTCCCTTACTTTTGCATCAGACAGCGGTGTTCCAGCCTGTCCATTGGCTCTTTGCAGGACAGCTGAATGCAGTTGGCATCTCTCAGAAATGCACGGCAGCTGCTGCAGCTGAAGCCGCGACTGCTGCCGCCTGAGCTCTTGGAACTGGCTGGCAGGTCGAGCGGAAGCTCGGGCACGTGCTGCAGAGCTCCAAATCGGCGGTCTCCGGGACTGCTCTGGAGTGACGACCTTACGGACAGAGCAATGCAGTCAGTTGAATCGGCGCACATTGGTTGGATCTGCGACGGTTCCTAGGGCGACACTTGTCTGGCAAAACTGCAACTAGAACCTGGTGGACTGGACCCCGCACCTCCTACCCAGTCCTAGGGGTTGACGACATTCGGCAAGCTTAAGTTTGGGGGAGCGGTAGGGAAAGCCCACAAGCCCGACATGCGACCTCAGCACCCTCCGGGGGGCCACCCGATGCTTCCTGGGGAGCGCGTTAACAAATGGAACGGTTGTGAGCACTTAAAACCCTCGACATCGCAAACCCATCCTCCCGGGGAAGAGATGGGGTATGTGTGAAACCATAGATTAGTCTGATTAGTCTGCACTGCCAGAAGCGACTGCCAAGTGCACAATGGCGAAGGCCACTACCTCGTGATCGTCGGCAGCTGGAGGTGATCCATCGATCCCCTGCATGCCTGTGCAAAATCCCCAACGATGTGCAAAGCTAACTAATACTACGTTCAGTAAATGCAGCCCTTTTGCTGTGTCTCCCTGCCTTTTCGGGCATGCTGTCACGACGGCAAGAGGTCTGCAGATGTATTCCGTTTGTCTTACAGTCTTACTTACCTCTGCTGCACTGAGCGATGATCCACTCAGAACTTGAGTCCTGTGCACATGAGAAACTAAGCCGCAACAGCTTCCAGGGGAGCTCCACTGGCACAAGAACAGCTCGTCACGACACAAACACACACACACACACTCATCCTTACTTAGATGGATGCTGTTTGTGCAAGTTATTTACATCTTGGACTTGCCAGGTTTGTGGCTTAGCCTGGTTGCCATTGCAGTTGCAGGTACGTCACCAGGCGTCCCTGGTGATATCCTCAGGACATTGTGGAAAGCTTTGTTAGATGGAGCTCCACAGGCCTGCTCCATCCCCCTGCTTTCTGAGCACTAATGCCACCTGCATCCTTCGGAAGAAGAGTTGCACACACACACACACACACACATGGACCCATGGATAGACACACGGCAGATGCAGCACACAGCGAAGGATCGCCGGCCGGACTCGAGGCCGCTCAAAGCTGGGTACATTTCGGATGATGGGCATGGCCGGCATGGACACCTGCCGCAGCGGCGCCTGCCAAAAGGCGGCGTGGGCCCCGCCCCCCAGCCCCATATGCTCAGAAGACTCCGCTCCTGCAACTCCCCCGCACGCGGCAAGTGGCTCGGGGACTGTCAAGCACTCAGGGGATGTGCAAGGAAATCGGCACTTGAGGGGAAGCTGAGGTGCTCGCGGAGGCTCCGGAGTTGCACTTCGCGTGAGGCGAGAGGCTTCGGCTGCAACGGCCATGTCGCCAATGCAAATCTGCCCAAACGGGTATTGATGCATGCGAACTACGGCAAAGTGCATTTACATGGCATGCTTCGAAAAAAGAAGCCTAGCAGGGAAATCCCACACTATACTGTACCTGCTGCTTGCCTGCTTCCTGGAAAGCCCAACAAGAACAAAGGCAACTGCAAACTAGCAGAAACATGCAGCAGCGCCTAGGGTTGGCGGTGGTGGTGCTAGTGGTAGTGCGTCTGGAGGTGGTCGTGGTGGGCTTTCTGCCTCACCGCGTGGAGGGACCTCTCAGCACAAGAAGCCGCTCTTGCCAGATCTTGTAAGATCTATGGACCAGCCTGCGCCTCTTCACGAACTGGCCTGTCAAGTTGCCACGGTGGACTCGATTCTAGCTCCACAAAAATTTAAAAGAGGCACAAGTGGTGCACCTCTCGGGTCTACCCGGGAACGGAGGCGGTGGGCCTAAGCCGCACACGGCTACACGATATGAGGGTTGGACTGTTTGGATGGCTGACTCGGCACCATGCGAGCTTCTCGCTCTGCTCGCTCTGGCAGCTTCGGAGGCTTGCCCGAGGCTGTGGCCATGCGCGGTTTGATGTGTTCTGTCCGTCCTTCCTGTGCTATGCAGTCCTCCGAGTCGACCCTTACAAATCACTGCCCCCGTGTCGAACTCCGAGACCTGTCCCGTAAACTGCAGCCTTCGAACATCTGCGGTGGAGATCTCAAGTCTCAAGTTGAGTCACTCGTGCTTTCAAGCTTGCACCGTACATGGCACATAAAACTGCAAAAGCCCTGTCCAATTTGTCTTCTTGGGTCGTTTGGCCTTCGAAGCGTAATGACAATGGTTCGCAGTACGATGCAGCACCCAAGGTGTGAAACTGTCCATATACGGCCCGACGCAATGCTAAGGCTAAACCACGAGGGTAAGAGATTCCAGGACCATTGAGGTCCGATGGCACTGCAGGCAAGGGGATTGTACAGCTGGCTGGACCCAAAGATCCAGCCTCCATTCGGCGGCAGCATTTGGCTATCCAGTCTGGGTTCAACGTCCGCCCTTCATTTGGGTTTGCGAAGCCTGAAATAGATTATATAGATATCTCAGCGAACCATGCGACCAAAAATTGGTATCTGGACCTGCCAAGAAGGCTTGCGCTCATCGGACTGAAACAGTCATCACAGAGCACACTTCCTCATCAGTTCTGGATACAACAACCCCGCACGCTTTGAATGCGCAAGTTGCCACTTTCAATTCCATCTCATTTGTTCTCCTGAATCACCAGTTGGTGAACGGATCTTGAGACCTTGGTTGGCGAGAATGAGGACGGCTTCAGCTAAAAGCATGCAATTTGCTGAAGCCACTTTGTGGGGTCCTCACGCATTGACTGCAGGAGGCTCTTGGTCCGAATCGGGATAGTCATCGAAGTTGCTTGTGTCCGTTGCTCCCTTCACTGCTGGCCTCAGCGCGACAGATCTCGAGCATCGACACATCAAGTGCCGAGAAGACATGCCCGCCGGCAAACCAGGCCATGGGCTTGAAGGGAGCCTCAATCTTCTTCGCAAGCAGGTCATCCCAGCTAAGGTCCTGTCGCGGCTGATTGCAACGAAGCTGGCCACGCAGGAAAAAGGGTGCAAAGCCTTGAACCACTTGTGCTCTTTGATGTCTGCTGCGCCGTTCTTCAGGTTGCCGAAGCGCTTGCCTGCGTGGCTCACCCTTCTGCCCATGAGAGGACCGAAGCACAGGCTCGAGAGGACCAGCATTACTAAAGCAGCGCTTGCATGGCAAAGAAAGGAAAGCGAGCCGAGTGCCCAGCCCAGGTCGGGTGTGAGCAGCTTCTTCACCAAGCTCTTTGCCTCGGCTCTCGGCTCTTCTCGGCTCTTGGCGACGTGAAGGAGAATTGTGTGTAAGGCATCCTTCCGGGGCCTGGCCTCCTTGTGGAAAATCTTCGGAAAGGTGATCTTGCCAGCCTTGGATCATACACGGCTGTGCTGGTGCACTCACAGGACGGTTCGCCAACTAATCCTCAGGCAGTTGCCAGGATCTTCTGGTAGATGCCCATCCTTAGCATTGAGGGGCTGAGAAAAACGAGGCATGTGTAGAGACAAGCGTCTGTCTTTAAGTGAATCTGAGATCTCGTCGGGTCCTCATCGACGAACGGAGGATAGCCGACAATCATCTCGTAGATAAGGATGCCTGCATATTGCTTGCAGTGTGCTACCTGCTAGCGGAAAGCTAGGCTTAGCTAGACACGTCTCACATCCCGTGGCAAGTTGAAGCTCGCCTAGCGTCCACCAGTCAACGGGCTTGCCATGCCTCATGCCACTTAAAGGTCACATGGCTTCGCCCTTCCTGCAACACGAGCTCTCAGGGCTCCAACCCCTTGTTGAGCAGCACTTCTGGCGCAATGTACTCCGGCGTTCCGCAGAGTGTGTATGTGCGGTGCCTCGGTCGCCAGACATGACAGTACTTGTTGGCAGGTCAGTTTGGATCAGCGGTGGACTCGATGACTTTGGCGAAGCCGAAGTCTGTGAGCTTCACATAGCCTCAGAAGACTCGGCTCTAGTCTCTAGCCTGACCCGCCCCATCTGGTCCGACATATTGGCGACTAAGGTTACTGCCGTCCGCGTTGATCAAGATGTTCTCCGGCTTCAGATCACGATAAACGATGTTCAGCTCGTGGCAATACCTGTTTGAATCCGAGGCCGACCGGGAAAGGATTGAAAACTATCAGTTGGAGAGATTCCCTGTCGGCAATTGCCTTGAAGACAGCACAGATGAGAGAGTATTCTGCATGCTTTAGAGATGCCTCCGACGTGGTATTGGAAGAGTGGTGAACGGAGTCAGTGAGGATCCTGTAAAGCAGTGATCCCCACATGAGCCCTTACTAGTAGATCGGAAAGGAGGCTGGAAGTTGAAGGTGCAATAAACCCGAGAATCATAGAAACAAGAACCCGCAACACAAAGAATACATCCCAGGGAGCACTCGAAGATGCAGGTGATCTGCGCTGCGTAGAAAAGTGACTGCTCGTTGTCGAACCGTCCAGCCTGAGGGGTATCAGCACTGCATGGCTGCCTTGTCTCCTAGGGCGCTCAATCGGGCCTTCCGAAGATGCGTGAAGAACTCACCTCCAACGATATACCTCAGTTTTCGAATCAAGGGTGCGTTAATTGAAACGGCTCGCAGCGAAGCTAGTCAAGGAGATCCTCCGCACATCTTAGCCTCCGGCTCCAGGACCATGTAAATGTAGCGAGGATCATGGAAGGAGCCAAACCTTTGAAGCACTAATGACACTAATGTAGGTGAAGGACGGCAGCGAACACAGGAGAGCTGTGAAATGTGCAAAGGGTCAGACATGTTCACAATGAACGGATGCTGCAGCTTGGCGAGGATCTGCTTCTCGCTCATGATATGATCCACCTGTGAATGGAAAAGGGCTCAAGCAGTCTTCTGTTCCGGCAACACCGATTGTCGCTTGCCTGCTTCATCTTGATGATAGCGGCCTTTTTCAGCGTCTTCAAGGCATAATGTCTTCCACTGCTTTTGTGCGTCACAAACCTGCAGAAGAGGTTCGGCTGCATGCCATTTCAGGTGTTCGTCTGCGGCACCGTGCCTGACCCGTCCAAAAGCTCCAGTTCCCAGCGTTTTCCCGAGACTGAAGTCGCTGACGGACTCGGCAGCAGGAAGCATTGGCTGGATGTGGTTGACGCAGTTGACTCATTGACTCAACCGCTGAGCTGACGACCAGCTTTTCCCCGGACAAGTCCATTTCCTGTTTCAACAAGAATGGACGGAGCAATCCACAAACCCGACTGGTCCCATTCTATTGTGACACACACCATCCTTCTCCGTCGCCATCTTGAAGTCCAGCCCCCTGCCACCAGGAGATTCTCAGTGACGTCGTGACGTTGTGCCTAGGGCGCCAAAACAGAATCAATGCACGCGCTTGGCAAATCGTGAATCGGTGGCATCTAAGCCAGCCGGCAATAACCACCTCCAAGGCCACGTTGGCTGACCCAGGTGCTTGGAGCCAATGTGCAGCGAATTCGAAATGCAGCAACTGCATACTTGGTGGCTCGTGCGTCCATGCTGTGCTTCCGCGGTCAAAACTGAATTCAACAGTCCAGCAAGCAGCAGTGGCACAATGCTGTTCTCCTGCGATATTCAAGGGTCTAGGCTCACGCTACTCAAGGGTGACGTCTTTTTTGATGGCCTCTGCGCCGGCCTGGATTGAAGGCTGAAACGAATTGCATGCGATGCAGCCGAAAACAGGACAGAACAAGTCAGGACCTGCAAGGGCGTGTCACGCACGATGCCTTTCAGGTAGGAGGACCTCTCCCGGCACAAGGCTGTCTGAGCTCTGGGTGTCTCTTTCCTAAGGAGCCCTTGCTGAAACTCTGCCATGGGTGACTTTCGCTGTTCAACTCCCGCAATTTATATCCCCGCGACTTTGAAACCCGCACATCCACGGTCGTTTGAGGCACCAGCTTGAAGGTTTCCAGCGCTGCTGGAGTTGTCAGGTTCTCTAATTTGTCCATATCCTGTACAAGTTCCGAAGCACGGCACGGTTCGTAGTTTTGACGCCGGGGACCTCTGTGTCCAGCTCGAAGTCGAAGAGGCGCGCATTTTCTTCCATCCTTCCGTGAATTTGTACCACGTCGCACAGGGGCTCCAGGGCTTCTTGGGGGCCTGGACAGCTTCTCGCTCTTTGGTATGTGCTGGAAGCCTTTCTGAATACACCTGGGCTGGACTGACAGCAGCAAACTCAAGCAGAAGCCTCTGCTCTTGGTGGCCGAAAAGCTCAGCCCACTGCCACTTTCCAAGAATCTGCGATGCAGAACGGCCATGCTTAGCTGCCAAAGCACCCACGACCTTCAAGGAAGAGGAAACGAAGTCGTGATGATAGCTTGGCATAAGCACAACCTGGAGTTGTTGCTTGCTGGGGACATTTATCTCTCTTGTCAGTTCGGCTCCAGGTTTCCTCTATATTCCGAAGGATGCACCGCATGCCAGCCCGCTGATCGCAGGATTCGTTAGGGCTTCATTCCCTGGATTTTTTGACGACATAATGAGAGAAACTGAGGGCCAGAGACCCCGCACAATTTCTTCGCGACTACAGAGCCAACCCATTAAAGAAATCCCACCAATCCGGACAAAGTCGTAAAACTTGACCCGGAGACCACGGGAATAAGGGATTGCAGTAGGATCGTAGCACATGGGCAGCTGAGATGGACCCTCGTCAGAGAGAGCAGAGTGGCCTCGTTCTCGAGCGAGGCCGCCTTGCCAAAGTTGCAGAGTGCTCGATAGGCCTTGCCACAAAGAGACAAAGCATGCTGCAAATGCCCTGCTGCGGTGCTCTTGGGAGGGACTTTTAGGGCTTTCTTTAAGAAATCTCAGCATCCGAGGCCTGCAGTTGTATGCCGAGTCCCTTGAAATGCGCGATGGTCCTGGCACATGACCAAGGCAACTTCTCTTGGCCTCTTTGCATCCGGCCCGGTAATGTCTGAGAAACCTGCTTCTTCCGGTACAAAAACGGGTTAATCCTTGCGGCACAGGCTTGGCAACCGGAAAGTAACGGCGGTGTGTAGCTCTACCGAGGGCTTCACTCGATCTGATTGACTGCTGGGAGAGGAAGTTTTGCAGCCTGAAGCTCTGACAGGTCCTCGCGCCAGGAACCACTCCCTTTTCTTCGGCTCTTACGTCCGTTGCGTCCTCCACGGTGTAATTTGAAACGCCGATGGACTTGATCAGGCCCTGACAAGCACAGGCTTCACCTGGGACATCCGGCCGGGGCCGCCCGGCGGGAGCCTCCGCTTGCAAAGCCACCAGCTCCTCACAGCGCGAAGACAAGCTAAAAGTAGAAAAGATGCTAAACATGTGGTACGTGAAGGCTGCCAAGGGTGCTGGCTATGGCCTGGTAAGCTTCCACGTGTTTGCCAGGGACCGGCCAGTGGATCATGTAGAGGTCTAGGAAACCGCAACCCAGGTCCTGGCCAGATGCACTTCAAAGGTTGGGGTGCCATTGGCGAGCCCATGCAAAGCCGACTTATTGCCTTGATGGACTTGAGGCACTGCTGCCGGACCTTCAGACTCCGAATAGCCGGTGGGATGCGACGTACAAGGTGCTGCACGCATCACCAGGCTGTCTTCCAGGCTCGGACAGCCTTTGGGCCATCGTGGATGTTGTTGGTCCACACCTGAAGAACATGATTAACTCAAGGCCCCAACTGTTCTTACTGTCCCGAGCTCGCGTGCACTCCGTACCTTGGAGATGATGTAAAGCTCTTCCCTGGGAACGCCAGCGACCTGGAGCTCATGAAAGGCTTGAACTGAAGGCGGCACTCCAGTGCATCGCGCCTGGAATGCTTCTCCAATGGCATCCTCACAACAAGCAAAGACTGCTTTGAGTATGCTTTACTGGCACGTTCATCATGTGCCATCCGGCCTCATTCTCATAGAACTGTGCACAATCGAAGCATCGATAGCCGGCTGCGAGGGCGTCCGCGATGACCTTGTTGCCAAGCAGCTCCATCTGAGAAATGCTGAGAAAAATTGGCGATCATAGCGGGGGCGTGACTCCCTTTGCTGGAGCTGGCTTGGGTGCATCGGCAGCCCCTGCAGCTGACCCAGGAACCACCTCTCCATGTCTGCAGA